AGAAAAAATAGATAAACTTCTGTTTGTCAGTCAAGCTGTCAACATGTTAAATAAACACCTACTGCCGTTTTAAAAATGCATTTCTGCGATATTTAAAACTTAAAGTAATATTTGTTTCAAATCAGATTAATTAAACTTTAAATCAGCTAATATTCCTCAAATAAAGTTTCAGAAAAGTATATTTAATTTTTGAGATTTTTTTAAAAAGAGAATTATATCGTGATGACAGATGGCTAAAACGTCGCTAAAGTCAGTGATTTTAGAAGTTTCTAAACGCAAACTCCTTCCAGTCAATTTAAATTAGTTTTGAAATGCGTCAACGTAGTCTGCTAATATTTACATTGTAAGTGTCTATTGTCGGAAAAGATATTGAACATTACATTTAAAACAATCAATGTTAGCCTGAGTTTGGCCGAATTATATTTCATTTGAATAATTAATATCTTGAAAATAATGCCTTGGAAATCAGTTTAGGATACCCTGGCCATTTCCTGGGTTCGAAACACTTATCACTGGCGTTGATAGCTGAACTATTTGAAATACCATGCAGGTTAGCTTTGGATTAAGTTATTAAAACGCTACAAATGAGGAATACTGACTGCAATAGTTGATCGTTTAGGAATACCAGGTGATGAAGGTTGGATGTGCAGGTGGTGTAATGGATAACGACTCGGACTTTTTAACCGGAGAGCCGAGTTCCAATTTCCGTTGTGTTCGTTATATTCACATACACGCAAATACCTTTGGGAAAAGTATGAATCCATCTCTTCTCTCCACAACTATGGGTTAATTAGTAAGATTTGTATCACTAAAACCATTATTATCTAAAATAAATACAATCTAAAACGGTTTTCTGGCTTTAAATGACTTGCAAAGGGTTGATAAGCCGTAGAAAACAAATCAATCTATCATACTGTCATACTGACTGCAGTAATAATGGTCTGTAATACAAAGTTTTGTTTACTCCATGGCAAGATACACGGCATATATATATATATATATATATATATATATATATATATATATATATATATATATATATATATATAACTGATATGATAATTAATTACAGTAATTTGTCTGTATTCAAAAATCAAATTTATCTCTGCTCTATTCCAAATATTGAGTACTATAGTAAAAATCTGTTCATTATAAATTTAAATCTTCATTATATATATATATATATGTGTGTGTGTGTGTGTGTGTGTGTGTGTGTGTATGTGTAGTATGAAATGGACAAAGTCCGACAATTATTTAAGAGATTTTTATGTAATAATAATTTGTCTTTCATAATTTTATAAAATTATATATGAACAGTTAGATGTTAGTTTAACCGGTAAGAATATATATATATATATATATATATATATATATATATATATATATTATAAAATTATATAATACAATAATAATTTTTTATGTCTTAAATAATTTTTATGCTTATACGTTCTATAAAAAGGACGTATAAACATGAAAAATGTCTTATATATATATATACACTAATGTTCACCTAATACAAGGTCCAAGAGCCACTCAAGTTAGAGTGTTACTGTGTGGTGTTGTATGAGTGTAAGAAAGGGAAAAAAATGAAGTTATTCGGGGTTATACAGAAAAGATAACGGTTAACCCTAGACTTGAAGAGGTCAAGATTGTTGTGATTGGGAAAACATCCTGCCGAGAGTCTGTTTCACAAAGCAGCAGCTCTTGGGAAGAATCTGATCTGAATGGAACTTACTTCTTAATATTGGAATGCGAATAGAATGGGGATGATTCACCCTTGTGTATATGGTATGGCGAGTCCTAGTTGTAATGGTCAGGGGTGGTGAGACTAAGGAATGTAGCTAGACAGAACACATGCCATATTGTGTATGCATTTCCGAATAAAAACAAAAATTTCTTCATTTGCAGACATAAGCACTTTTCACTGATAACGTTCCACATAGTTTGCATTTATTTTTCTATATGCATAATTCTCCACTGCTGATTCAACTTTTATTTTCCTTCTTTTTTTTTTTTTTTTTTCATTTATTTACGTTTTGCCGATCTCTTTTTGAACGTCGGCAAAAAAAAATCATCTTTTGTTCAAAATCTAACGTATCAGAAATCCTTCAATATAGTAATGAATGCTGAACAATTTATTCACAGATAAAGAGGATACTTTATACAACAAAGCTGTGGTTCTACAGAAGGAAGCTGAGAATACCATGAACTGAACAACGAAGAAGGTTTAAAGAAAATCCGAAAATGTACGGTGGAAAGCGGCTCGGATTGAGGAATCGGAGAGCCGAGTTCGAATTCCAGTCGAATCCATAACATTCATTTACGTGCTAATACTCTTGGGAAAAGTATGAATCCATTTCTTCTCCCGCCCCTATCCCCAGCTATGGGTAAATAGCAGGACTTCTATAGTCTACTGCAGAAAAAATGGCAACCTACTGCGGGAGAAAAAATCTGCCTCGTCAGTCATGTATAGAGAGATACATGAGTGCCTAAGCGTGTATCACGCATGGCGTGTATCACGCATAGCTGACTGACTTGAATAGCCCCCCGAAAGCTAATCGAAATATTAATAAACTGGAAAATGTTAAAAACAAAGAAAACAGTGCTGAACTGCAGCCTATACGGCAGTGAATGCTGAACAATTTCCTTAAAAATGAAGAGAATACTTGAGGCAACAGAAATGTGGTTCTACAGAAGGATGCTGAGGATACTAAGACGTTTTATGGAAAATGGGAAGAAAAAGAACACTATAAGAAAGTTGAAATTTCTGAAAGTTTCTTGGAGAATTTCGCATACACAGGACACATTGAAGACAAGAGGGCCATAAGAATACTGCGAATAATACGAAGGTGGGCTGAAAATTTCATAGGCTGACTATGAAGGGATGATACTGGAGCTGTGAAATCGTGCATGCATTAATATCAACACTTCTTGTTAAAAACTGCATTGTTTCTTGCCGGTTAAACTAACATCTAACTGTTCAAAGAAAGCTTTAAAAAGTAACTAGTAGCGCCTTGTCTTGAAAATAAACAACAATTGGCAAGGGTTTAATCTTCAAGGATATCCATGCTGACATAGTTGCGACCTTAAGGGATGACTTTCTCTAGCTTTATCAACACTGCAAAAGTTGGTAACTGAATTTAGGAGGGAAAGGGAGAGTCTTGAAGTTGACCCAAGGTTTGGACGTCCTGGAACTGCCGCCACCGTGGAAAGCATTGATTGTGTCCACCACATTGTGATGAATGACAAATATCTGACTATAAATCAAATAGCCGATGCAATTAGCATATCCCGTCAATGTATACAGAATATTCTGCACAATGTACTTGGCATGACGAAGGTTTTCTGCTCGCTGGGTACCACATTTTCAGACATATGATCAAAAGCGCATCAGGCTGAAATCATGAGAAAATCTGACATTAGTTTCCTTGAACCTTTCCTAATCCAGGATGAGTGTTGGGTTCATCACCTTTAGTCAGAGACAAAGAAACAATCCATTCTTCACCTACACCAAAACGGTCAAGGTCGTAAAGAAGGTGATGGTGCCAGTTTTGGTGAATGCAAAAAGCACTGAGTTTATTGAATATGTTCAAAAGGGCCACACCATCAATGGAGAGTTCTATGTCAACCTGAAGAGTCAGTTACGAAAGGCTGTCCAGAACAAAAGTCCAAGAAAACTGACGAAAGGGGTCTTGTTTTCTCAAGACAATGCTCCAGTGCACAAGTCCTTGATTTCAATGGCTACTGTGCGTGACTGTCACTTTAAAATGGTTTATCATCCTCCACTTTCTACTGATTTGGTCCCAGCTAACTATCATCTGTTCACCAACATGGAAACAAAACACTTAGTTGGGAACCAATATCGCAGTGATAATAACGTCATATCTGCTGTTAATGACTTTTTTACCAACGAGATGAAAGTTTCTTCGCCATTCGGATCCAAGCACTGCAAAACCAACAGAAGAAGGGTGTAGACCTCAAAGGGACTATATTGAAAAATAAACAATACTTGATCACATTCAATGAGAGTAACCTGGCCAGTCAATGAATTTGTCAGTCGACCGTCGTATACCTAATGAGCAGAACAGGGAGTGGGAGGATTGCTAAAAAAAACAAAAAACTTTGCTTAGAGCTACAAAGAATAGGAAGTTGTACAAAGTCATGATCACACACGTCCTGAAGGGACATGACACATAGAAGAAGAAGAAGAAGAAGAAGAAGAAGAAGAAGAATTTGACTAAACTTTTTATAGATTTACACCAGCCAATTCTTCTTTACACAATATTTGCCAGTTTTTGTAAAAACTTCTTATGTTTTCACCGCGTAATCATTTTCTTTTAGCTATTAAGTGCGTACATCCATCACCAATTGTTGCATTCCCAGAATGCTTTGGAACAAAAATAATACAGACCTCGTGATACAGTGAACACTTAGTCAAAAGTCTGAAATCCGAGAATGACAAAGACCAAACGTAATTTAATTAAATGGAGTCGTCAAATTTAGTTAAGGCAACGAATTATATAAATAAAGTTTTTTAATCGAATGCGGTTGACGTTCTAATGTTCGTACAACTAAAGATTTATATCTTAGAGATCAATATATTTCAGAAAATATTTTCCTTTTTTATTTACTTACATTGTTACTCAACATTACTTAGAATAAATAAATGATTAAAGCGTTTAAAAACGATACGAAAATAAAGACACACACAGATGCACACAGATGCGCACAGATACTCGAACACATACAGACACACGTATATATATATATATATATATATATATATATAGAGAGAGAGAGAGAGAGAGAGAGAGAGAGAGAGAGAGAGAGAGAGCATAAACAAATATGATAAATGAAAAATGACGCACCACGAATTACCACATATCGTCATGGTACTTGGAACTACCGCGTAAATAAATGTAAAACTCTTAACGTATTTTTAATAAAACAAATATAATATTCCTTTAAAAATGATTTATAAAAGCCAGAGGCGCTTAGACTTTGGACAATGCTTGATAGATAGATAGATAGATAGATAGATAGATAGATAGATAGATAGATAGATAGATATCAAAGATCTGACCAGATATTCGATAGCTATAAAAAATTTGATCAGTATTTCTATGTATTAGTTGCGATTAAAGAGAACAAAGAGTGTGTTGCGTCAATCTTCCAAGCTTTCATGTTTTATTGTCCGTCATTGTTTATTTACCATTTTATTCAACATTTCTCAACATTTCTGTCTTTCAACTGCTTTTAAGAAGATTAAATGGATCGATGGCGCCATAGGTCCATCATCTCCTAAAAGTGCTGAGAGCGTTCGCTGCGGTCAGCATAGAAAGCAAATTGGTGCAGGTTTTTTTTTTTATGTCAGCTTCATTATAACCATTTATTGAGATTATCTTTATGCTTCATTGCCATGGAAAATATGTTAAATTGCTTGTCATTTTTTTTCGTTTTGCACCGAAAAATAGTCAGCGAAAGATTTTTACACATATGGAGCTGAAATTATATATATTTTTTTATTTTAATAACTTTTATATTTTCTTTTATTTTTGTCATTTTATTTTTTTTTTTATCAGATTTGTCCATCAAGTTCATTATTTTAATTGCATTTCTTTTCTCTTCAGTTTTATTTCGCTTGATTTCTTAAATTTCTTTATTTTTTGCATTTTCAATGCAAAAAAAAATTAAATAATAATAATAATAAATTAAATGTTGTTTATATATATATTGGCTCATTTTTATTTTATTTTTTTATTTTTTATTTTTTTTTTCGAAATTAACTTTGCTTTTTGTATTTGATGTCATTTCTTAACCGAATTGGACTCACAAAAGAAAATTTACAAAAGTCGATTACTATAGGTGTCAACGGTCACATTACAAATAGTTAAGATTGTCTTTTTTATTTACAACAATTTTTTTATTATCCTGTTTTGACTTTTATTTTTCCATATTTTTCCAGGGATGGGGGCGATGTTACCTACATTTCTTTGTTAAATTCCTTTTTTTCTTTTCTTTCCTTTCGATATCATATTTGTGTTAATCCCTATTGAATGTCTTAAATGTCTATCATAATTTTTTTTTCTTTTTTTTTTTTTTTTTTTGTTTTGCTTTCTACTATTCTTTGTAGGGGGGGATATAATCGCTTGATTCATTCTTTATTTCTAATGGGACTTTTCCTTCCTTCGCCTCTTTCTGTTTTCTTTCCTTCATTTATCTTACGTTTTCTTTACTTTCTTCGTTTTCTTTTTCTTTTTATGTTCTTTTTTATTCATCTCTTCTTTGTTTAAACTAGTTTTCATTTCTGTTTTTTACGACTGAGAAGAAGTATTAATATTTCTATCATTATTCAGACACTCAAATCTCTTCTTTGCCTATGAGTCGAAATGAAGAGATTTGAGCGTCCGAAAATGGTGGACATATTATCGACTCTTCTCAGACTTATAGACAACACAATGTCCGCAAAGTAACACATTATAAAGAAACAGAAAGATATTCAATAGAAGAAATATCAGTATATATATATATATATATATATATATATATATATATATATATATATATATATATATATATATATATATATATATATGAATATATATATATATATGAATATATATATGAATATATATATATATATATATATATATGTATGTATATTATATCGAGTTCCTTCCTATTTTCTATATATTTTACACAGACACACACACACACACACACACACACACACACATATATATATATATATATAAGTCTGACAATTATTTAAGACATTTTTTATGTCTTAAATAATTGTCTTTTATAATTTAATAAAATTATATAGGAACAGTTAGATGTTAGTTTAACCGCCAAGAATAAATATATATATGTATATATTAAATTAAAATTATATATATATATATATATATATATATATATATATATATATATATATATATAAACACCTCACAAACTTACCAGACTCCATCCGAAACATACTAGTAGAAAATACAAACATAATAATCTCATCCACATGTAAAAAAAAAAGATTAAAAATAGTGGAAGCCTTAGTAATAAAAAGAAAAAAAAACAACGCTCAATAATATTAACTACGAACACGGCCACAATGTGCTGTGTTAGGAAAATAAAACATCCCTATAACTCTAAAAACATAAATATACACCCAATTAGAAAGCAAAAATAAAATCATCCTTGATAATGGCTAACAGTATAGTCGAAAGTGCTAGGAATTACAGAACATTTGGACAGTTTCTGGAGATTTGTCCAGAAAAGAAAACTCTTGTTCGAACACAAGAAAAATTAAATAAAAAGCTTAATCGCAGTACCTTGTCTGTTGAATTTAATGAAACATGTATAAATGAAAGATTGCTATACATATATATATATATATATATATATATATATATATATATATATATATATATATATAAATGCCTCGTTCTAGAATCGTATACATACATACAGAAAAGCACTAGACGGCCGTTTCGTCCTTTTGGGGGACTCATCCGCAGTGCGCATCTCCTCCTGAATCTGAGTATCGAACCCAAACCGCTACGAGACGACGCAAGCATCATACCACTGGGCCAGCAGGTCAGGGTGGCGAAGAGGAAACTTACTAGACACAATATAGCACAGCTCATCCTATTTCTGGTGTTGATACTTATCCAAGCATGCATAACCCACGAAACTGACAACAACTTCTTTTCACTGAGCCACTGAATCCAAAGCATTAGAAGCTGGATCTAGCATAGGTTTATATAAGTGATTATTAATTTTGAGCCAACTTGGGTCCCGTCAACCATACGAGAGAGGGAGCAGAGTCCTGCTGGAACACGTACGGCTACTTCTCGAGACAGGGTTTGTACACCAGGTGCTGCACTTCTGTATAGACGGAGGCATTAAACATGAAACTGGAAGAAGTGGAACGACATGGAATGAGGTTCATTGCTGACAATTCACAAGAGCACCAAAGACGATGTAAATTTGGTGTGCATCACCATATATACCTCTGTGGTGTCCACGCAGAGATACCTATCTTTCCTTCTCACCTAGCCACTTTTTAGAAGCTGGATATCTCCGGGTCCCTTTTGTCGGCGGCTAGTGTTACGAAAAGGGCGTGCCCATTTATTTCCTGTCTCCTGTTATGTTAACGCTTTCGATACATCTGAAAGAGAAATGAGAGAGTTAAAAAAAATGGCGTTAACTGCGTTGGCACGTCTTCCGTTTATTAAGATGTGTCCTCAAATATATGGCATAACCAGTATATTTGCAATCGATACGGACCTGAACTAGAATTTGAAGAAAAGATTTAAGCATATGAATAATGTGGGATATATTTGGCTTTCTTTCTCTTCAATTTCATATTTGCATTAATTCCTATTTAATGTCTTAAATATTTTTCTTTTTTCTTAATATATATATATATATGTATATATATATATATGTGTGTGTGTGTGCGTGTGTGTGTGTGTGTGTGTGTGTAATCGCTTGATTCATTCTTTATTTCTACTAGGAATTTTTCTTACTTTCGTTTTTTTTCTTTTCCTTACGTTTGCTTCATTCATGTTACTTTACTTTTCTTCATTCAAGTTTTTCTTTTTTTTTTATTTATTTCTCTCCTCCTCCATTCATTGTTTAAACAATTTTTCTTTACTCTTGCTGTCTATAAATTTGAATATAGGCATTAACGTGCCAAATCTTATTCAAACGTTCAAATTTTTTCGTTGAACCTAAGTCGATTGCAAAGAAGAGATTTATGAGCATCTCGAGGGGGTGTAATGGTTAACAAGCTTGTCTGGCTAGAACGATTACGACTGAGTAAGGAGTTCGATCCTCACTGTGTGCTCCCCTCCTTTCGTCCTTGTACCACATCTAAGCTACGCTTGGAAAATCATTACAAAGAAGAGATTTAAGCGCATAGATATGCTAATGACTCTTTTCCAACTTATAGACAATAAACTGAGAACGTATTATACAATAGACAAAAACAAAGATATTCAACAGGACAAAAAAATATTATATTTTATATTTCAATCTTTCCTTATTTTTATTTGTTTCTTTTTTTCCTATGTCGCTTTTAACTATGAATTATATTTATTTATTGTCTACCTCATTCTGAAATATCTAAATTCTCAGCTCTATTCAGCCACTTTCCCAGATCAATGATTAAAAATGGCTTCGAGTTAATGAAGCCTGTAGTTCTCGGCGAGGACCCTGCTTTTTTGAATCTCATGTACTAGTGATACAGAATCACCAACAAAAAAAAACAGTACTAAATAACTGAGAACCACATTACTTGTTGACTAAGCAGCAGCAACAACTAAAATGTATAGCACACGTGACTCGAAGAGAAAATAATAACTTGATCATGATGATGACATTCCACACGACTTCAAATAAAAGGTTAGGAAGGAAACCTCGATCAATACTGGAAAGAATATTAAGTTACTGGACTTGATAAACGTATTTTCCTGAAAAATGTTTTAATAGAAATCTTACTTATTATAAAACGCAGATTGTGTGTGTGTGTGTGTGTGTGTGTGTGTGTGTCTGTAACGTTTATATGTTGGATCGAATTTCCTACATTTTATAGCCGATTTCAACAAAACTTCACAGGACTACATAAAATTACCTTGTGGTGGTTCTAACGGGACCGAAAATGGGAAAAACACAGTTACTTTTTTAATAAAATCATTTTGAAAACACGATTAAGACACATCGTGAGAATGAAAGGGGGACAACTCACCCACGAAATTGTAAACAAAAGAGCATAGCATGATGAAAAAGACGCCGAATTTGACGAAAACAAAATTTTATTGTCTAATGTTCATATTATTATTAAAGAGGAAAGATCAAAGTATTTTGGGGGTATTTTTTTACATTTTTTAATCGTTCCTAGCACGTCTGAAATTTTCGTTAAAAATATTGTTTTTTTTTTTGGTCAAAAAAAGGACAGATAATCATTTTCAATCATTTTTTTCGATTTGATAAAAAAGATTAAAATCTTACTTTGATATTCTTTTAAAAATCAATTATCATTTTTTCAAAACTGATTTTAATAAAAACAGAAATTATACTGTTTATTTAAAATATTTTGAACCAAGCTTAACTTAGCTTCTGCGCCGAAAAAATGTAATTTGAAAATAAAACAAAGCAGGTCATAACCTTTCGCGTCGCTTGACGATTGACGAAAGGCACATTCATGACGTTTAGATAACTTACGGGAGGAGAATTCTTTCTACAGATGGAAGGAAGTGAAATTATTTAAGTGAACAAATTATTTACTTTGTTACTTTTAAGAAAAACTTTCAGCGCTCTAATTTTTTATTTTTTTTATTTTTTTTATTTTTTTGTACTTAGCTTTCATTTTTACGTTTACGATGCTTTATGGAAAATATAAAGAAATTAAAAAATAAGACTGTTAATAGTGAGATTAAATTTCATAAGAAAAAGCTATCTAATTAATTTAGGTACCTTTCTTATGAAATTTTATCAGAAGTGTACATAAAATACTATAATTTATGTACATTTATTACATTTTACTGTATTATTTGTATTTCCATTCATTTTATTATTAATTTTGATATTTCATTTATGGAAAAATGTCATAACTGAGATTAATATAAAAATAAGATCATATAAATTAAAGTTTAGCAGTAGTTAAATTTCATAAGATGATACTGTTACTTGTAGGTACCCTTCTCAGTTGAAATTGAAAACTCAAATTAACTTCTCCATACGTGTTTCGCAAAAGTAAAGGGCTTAACAGCGGATAACAATGCTGAACTCAAATAATGCAACTAAATTGTATTCTGGTCGGTCTTCCGTACTTGATAATTACTGTCCGACTATAAACACAAAAATTACATTTCTTAATTACCATGGCTAATCTGATTGGTCCAAATTATACAATTTTCAAAGCGCTAGACAATGACAATCTCACACGGACATTTTGAAAGGTTGATGTTGCTTTTAACTAATGTTAAAGTATTTTTTAAAATTCAATTTAAACATTTTTTAAAAATCTTTTTAAAATTAAAGAAATAAGAAATAATTGTATTAAAAATTCAATTTTCATTGAAAAAAACTTTTTGCTTTCAGAAAATATTGTCCATATTCATAAAAACAAATTAAAACAAATAAAAGCATTTGAAACTAAATAATATATTTGTTTTATTGAGTTTTGTATGTTACAATTCACAGCTGATTTTCAGGTACGTTGGCCAAAAAAAAAAAAAAAAAAAAAAAAAATGATTTGCATTCTTCAAAGCCTTGTACTTTTAACTATTGTAATCACTAAAACCGATGGTCTCGAATTTCTAGAGTTTTTCATAAAATTAGTTATGGTGGTGTTAATAAATATTAAAAAAATATTTCTGCCATGACTTTAATAAAAAAAAAACATATTTATAATAATTTCGATCATCTGTGAATAGTTTCTGATAGTTTCATTAACATCTGACAATTATTTTTATTTTTGCAAGATTTTCCAAATTAATGTGTGTAAATACAAAAAAAACGCGCTAAAATTATCTATGTTATTTACTACCCCTTGTTGCGACAAAGAGAAACAAGGTTTTTAAATCAAAATTTAGAATATTCTAAAAAAGATGGAAAAATTTTTTTAAAATAATTAAAAAAATTTAGTCTATCCTCTTCATAAAAAACATAAGCATTTTGACGATAAAATTTTGTTTTCATAAACTTTGGCGTCTTTTTCATCAGACTATGCTCTATGTTTTAGCGATTCCGTGGAGTGACTTAGGTTAAAAACCCAGGTTGTGTGTGTGTGTGTGTGTGTGTGTGTGTGTGTGTGTGTTTATTTATATATGGGATCGGATTTCTTACATTTTCAGCCGATAAAACAAACATCCACTTTTTTTTTTTTTCGGCAGGTAGTATTTCTTATTGTCTTGCACACTTTTTTCTTTATTTACATTTAGAATGCTTTAAAAATTCCATTTACAAGACAATTGTTTATAATAAAATTCTATTCGCCAATCGATAGACTCATAACGATTGTAAACAATGTTTTTGTTTGAATTTGGGTTTGACCAATTCGTAAAAAAAAAAAAAAAAAAAAAAAAACTAATTAAGACATGCGTGTCCGTCAACCTTAAACAATAATCTTTGTCAATTATATTTTTCAGTCTTTATGATGGTCGATACTTGATCTATCTCTTACTGTTACATCCCCGGGCAACGACGGGCTCTACTGCTAGTATTTTATAAATTTCAACCGAAAGTAACACTGTCTGCTTGGTCAATGAATGCCGAATGTTTCCTTATAAAGAAACTGCTAATGTTAATAGTACCATTTGCTTATTGCTTAATTTCTTTCATTATTTTCTTTAAAAAAACGCCTCTTTGCGTGAGGTGTATTTGTATATTATTTATTTTATCAAAAGTGTCTAAACTGTTTTAATCTTCGCTTTCTGTAACTAATTTGTTGAAATTTGCAAAAGGAATTGGCAAAATCAAGTACACGCTTGCACAGATGTATATACGCACATCCACAATCGCATACAAACACACACACACACACATGCACACAAACCCACGAATATTACAAATTAAAACAAACACGGTCAAATGAATATAGACCACAGATCAAAATATACATTAGTATTTACATTAATATGTGCCTTCATATACCATCGCTCAGGAGAGGTCACTCTAGTTTAACCCCCGGTGAGAACACATCACGAGAGATGATTTTAACCAACGAGATAAACTGGTGCCTATTACTATTACTAGTATTACTACTACTACTACTACTACTACTACTACTACTACTGCTGCTGCTGCTGCTGCTGCTGCTGCAATCCTGCAGATGTATACGCACATGCATCTATATAATTACCACATGCTACCTTCAGGGAAAATATCACTTTTGTAATATTTCCTCTGGAAAATGCATAAACCCAAGTTTCCTTATGCTCAGTCCCATCACCAGAAAAAGGAAAATGGCACATTAGAGTAAATTCCATGAAAATATTTATAGAAAAAGCAAAGAGAAGCTACGTCATGTCGGTAAGGAAGGGACTGAAGTCGAGATGCCAGGTCAGGATCGAAGATTATCGAAAAATAAGTAGGAGCATCAGATTCTCTAAATATAAGTAGGAGCACCAGACTAGATTACATTTAGTTCTTATAAATTGCACGAGTTTGTCGACTTCTTTGTAGATGAATAAAGCCTCCCTAAATATTATACGTTGTCAAGCCTATTGCCACTCTCGTTAATTTTTCAGATGAGATCCACTCTTTAGTTCCACCAATTCGAACTTTTACAACTAGGACACGTCATGCTAGCTCCACGGAGTCAAATCAGCCTAATTTCTCCCGAATTCCATTTGTGAAAAGAACGTTCAATTTTTTATTTTATCAAGAACTGCCACTTTGTGGAACAGAATCCAGTGTGGATATTTCCATGAACATTACTATCTTAAACTCTTCAATTCAAAGGTCAGTCGTTATTTGCCCTCTTTTTCCTCATAATATTCACTACTCACCACCTCCTCTTTAATTCATATCACACACCTCATTCACCATTTTAACAATAACCCTCTACCTTGAGTGACTCTTGAGCCTTTTACTGGATAAATTTTAGTATAAAATAATTCGAATACAAAATCAAAATATATATATGACCTAGAAGATCGTTGGTATACAATGTTGGTTCCTTCGTGTTAGTTCTTGGACAATCTACGTTACTTGACAATGTCTTTCTCGTCGCTTTCTCGTGTTGCAACAGGATAAGTAACATGATGTATTGCGATACATGGTACCAGCAGCCCTGATCTGGCTGGAAAAAGTGGTAATATTAGAGTGAACACAGATTAACTCAGTCAGAATTCGAATTCTGTTATGCCGATTCTGCTTGTTTGCGGTGCTGTCGTCCGTCAATGACAAATCCATACCTCGACGAAGAAAAACCGATGCACATTTAATGATGAACATAATCATCGACATCAATACGTGAGCAGCCAAGAGTATAGAAAATTACTGAACACAAAAAAACACTCACGTAAAACTGTCCTTCTAAAACAAATGGCCCCATATGCATTATAAAGTATTCATTGCCAATAAAAAACAACGCTTTTTATGATTACATAGATTTTCTCTACGCATTCAATTTATCAATTGGAGAATCATTCTCTCTCACTTCCTCTCCTACCTCTTACCCTGTGTGTGTGTGCAGGTCTTTGTGTGTGTTTCATTGTTTTTCACTTTATGATTGTGGTGATTTTCTAAGCCCGGCTTAGATGTGGCACAAGGCCGAAAGTATAGGGCACCCAGTGAGGATCGAACTCACTACTCAGTCGTAATTGATCTAGCAAGACAAGCTTTCTAACCATTACACCACGAGGTTTGCCCTTCACTTTAGGCTTGTGTGTGTTTTTCAGATTTTCTCTTTTCCTTTTTCTTTCTTTCCGAAAGTATGGGGCACCCAGTGAGGATCTCCATCTGTCTCCGTTTCTCTCTCACTCTGTTTCTGCATTTCTCTCCCTCTCTTTCTGCAACTCCCCTCCCCCTTCTCTCTGTCTCTGTTTCAATTTCATATTCAAATTTATACTATGTTTCTATCACAGACTTTCCATGAATCGGAAGATCAATGCTGGGCAGGAATCAGATGATCATGTAGCGTTAATTTTCCAGTTATGAAAGTCTTACCCATATATAAAATCAACATTTGGATTCCTGATCTTTTCCAAAGATAGAACAACTAACTGCTGGCATCGCGGAAAAAATAGCTACCCCTTTATCTATCGAGCAAAAACCTTATATATATATATATATATATATATATATATATATATATATATATATATATATATATATATATATAAACAGTATAACTATATTTCAGGATAAAAAAAAAAAAAATGCAACATTTTCATCCAGAGGTAGATCACGTATTCAACAAGGACAAGAATAGATGAAGCGAAATGATTTTCACTCAGAATGAGTTTTATCGAGCACCGAATTCAGCACCTTAAAAATTAGGAGGAAACGGCATTGTAACAACTGCACTAAACCATCAAGTACAACGACAGTCGGTGATTAACGAAGCACAAATATAGAAATAAATAACAATTAAGAAAAAAAATATAAGTATTGAAATCGACGAATAAGAAAAAGAAGTTATTTTCTATTTTTCTATTCAAATGACTGATTCCATTGTTTATGTAAAGAGCTTGAAAGACAGAAAAATCGATCACCAACCGAGAATCAAGCTAAATGCTAAGCAGTATAACTGATTACGTGTTTGCCTTTAAGTTGTTCAAAATAGTCAATTTGAACTACCCTAAAAGTTGATGGAATTTGAACAGCGAATTTTACCTTACGCGAACAGTAGACTTTTTTAAGCTAGAGTACAAACATTCCAAGAGAACTATATCGAAAGAGACAAAACAAAGAGTAGATTTGGGAGAAAACTCCCGAATCTTTGCGCAGCGCTTAATAGATGACTTTTAACGGAGATCAAGACATTAGTACATAGATGAGAAGAAAAAGATCACTTAGAATCGGCTCAATTAAAGTTTGATCTCATTAAGAATTTGAACATTTCACCTTCTAAATACTCGAAATAAATAAATAAATAACTCTGTCCCAGTAGATATATTTTGCCCAAAAACAGTATTATTATTAATTTTAGACAAGTTCTTTCATTTTATTGTTGCTTTTTATTTACAACACTCAAGGTCGATACACTACTGTCGTTAAAGTAAGCTGCATGAATCTCTATCTTTATGCATTTTCACAGTTTTCATCCAATTTCGATTAATTTTTTTTAATTTTTTTTTTATAGATAATTCTTCAGTGCCGGTTTTGATTCAAAACTGGCTGGAAAAAATTACAACCTTAAAGGTGAAAAATCGAAAAAACTGATTTTTTACACTTTACGCAAAAATCAAAGGCAAAATTTAATGTATGTAAAAAACAGCGTGCAGTCAATTTAAAGAGTTGAAATCTAACGCAAAAGATTATTAGAATCATATAAAAAAATTATATTATAAATAAAAAAAATATCATATATTATTATTATGACGGACCATGGAAGGTTTTCTTTCTTTGCAAGATTGAGAATTCAAAAACGACTCTTTTCAGGGCCACCTCACATTCAAATTGTTAATCCCCCTATTTGGGAATGTGCGCCCAATTGTTGTTATTAATACTGATTTTCGGGTGAGCTGACTTTAAACTTAAACTGCTCCAATTGAACGGCAAAAATTCCCAGTAATGAAACATCCGGTCGAATATGGGTTATACTGCTAGTCCAAAATAAAGAAATAACCTTTGGTGAGACTTGAACTCGTATCCTATACTTGAACATCGCTGTAACAAAGTTGACAGCAACTCAAACCCAAATGCAGATTTAAAGTAGAAAAATTATTTATTATACAATAAGTGAGAAGGAAAGGAAACTATACAAAGAAATAATCAAGTTTTTTTAGAAAGAGTTACACAAATACTCCTTTGTGTCCCAAAAGTTGTTTTAAGCAGGCAGAAAATTCTTCGAGTAATTTTGAAATATAAACAAAAAAGTTGAAGGAAGATATGAGAGGAAAATTGAAAAAGTGAGTCGAAGGAAAAGCTGAGTCAAAACAGGGTCGGAGCTGGTTATCGTGTCCTAGAAAATGGTTCCTTCCAACTTGATAAGGATTCTAGAAGAGATGCTGAGCCTCTCCCACTGTTGTAGTCAAAGGCGACGTCCTGTCTTGGCCGGCAGAGCTTCCTTCCTTCCGTTGGATATTTTCGAACGACGAGCCATCCACATTCGCGAGCTCATATTTCCACTTCCTCATCCGAAGCAATGCCTTCTTTCCACCTATGCAATTTTGTGTGAGTGTTTTTGAATTCAGGTTTCTGGTGTCAGTTATTTTTAGCGAGCCTCCCAGCTTAGAAAATGTTTCAAGACTTACTTTTTAAAATGTTTATAATGTCTAAAATGGATGAAGACTACTTTAATTTCCGATTCACGCTACTTATTTTAATGGTTGCAAAAACATGAAGCGGCCTGATGTGTTATCAGGAAGAAAGCAAAAAGATAAAAATAAGCTAGTTAATAATTAATAATGAAACTACTTCATGACAGGATTCAGATAATTTTAAAATATTGCTATTTTATTTACTAATATTATATCTTAAACAAACAATATGGAGCAAGTAAGAAAATAAGCAACTATATGGCTAGAAATTTTATTTCGTCTTCCTTGTCTATTTGTCTTTTCCCCGAATATGTCTTTCCGTCTGATCCAAGCACCAGCCAATATAGTATGACATCTGCACCACTTGTGGCTCTGTAATCTACAAGGAGTGATTGTGGCCTTAGGACATACAACGCATGTTTGTAGCCCTACGATCTATAAGCTAAAAAGCACATCACGTTTGTAGTACTAACCGTCAACCGCAGCGACTCGCTATTTATATCATGATATCCCAGTTTTCTCTGCAGAGTCTCGTAATCAGTGCCCCGCATATATCGACGGTCAAGCCCTGGTATAAGAAGAGGTATCTGTACGTGTACCAGCAAGATTCTCCTTCTTCCCACAAGTGACCCTCGTGATCGTATACTTCCCCAACATGTAGTCTCCTACCCCTCTTGATTTCAATCGCCTTGACCACTAGATGTCGGACTACACTGCGTGCCAAATTATTATTGAGATAACTTTTTTAATAATATTTCAAAAACCGTCCAATCAATTCACACAAAATTTTCACACAATGTTGGCAATACTGAGCTGCGCAATCACTGAAATTTTCGTTCTGATCTGCGCAATGTAATCAAACTGGCGCCATATTTTTTATCAGAACGGTGATTTGAGCGTGCCAAATGATTAGAAAAGTATAAGAATTTAGTGAAAAGATGGGCCGTAAAAGCAGTTTAAGTGATGCTGAAAAGAAAACTATTACCTCAGAACTCTCAAAAGGTAAATCTACCCTAGAAATTTTTAAAATGATAGGGAAGTGTCATCAAACAGTGAAAAATTCACCGCCGACCCTACACAAGTACGCAAAAGGGCATATAAAGGCAACCCGAGGGTTATTTCACGTCGTCTCATGTCACAACTTAAACGAGAGGCCACGAAGAACCCTGGACTTACCAGTCAAGGGCTTTACAGTCGTACTGGGGGATCCTACTGTGTCTAAAAGTACTCGGTGTCGGTATCTGAGGGAAATAGCAACAACAGTCAAACCTGTATCGAAGTCTCCTTTGACGAGAAATCACATTCAAAATCGATTGAAATGGGCCGAGGACAATATGAAGATTGACTTCTCTAAAGTTTTGTTCACAGACGAAACTTGAGAAACACTTGATGGGCCAGATAGATGGTGCAAAGGCTGGGTAATCAACGAAGAGAATCGCCATCAGTGTTTGAGACGCCAACAAGGCGGCGGAGGCATAATGATCTGGGGTGGTATTATTGGAAACACATTAGTGGGCCCATGGAGAGTACCAGATGGCGTCAAAATGACTGCTGATGCATACATAGCGTTTATGAAGGAGCATCTTGAACCGTGGATGAAAAGTCAAAGAGTTACCTTCAGAAGGGCCATTGTTTTTATGCAAGATAATGCTCCCTCACACGCGGCTCACAAGATTACTGAATATTTGAAACAGTTAGGCTTCGATGGGCCTCGAAAAATGAAGTAGCCAGCAAATTCTCCGGATTTGAACCCAATCGAAAAACTTTGGAGCATCATGAAGCGAAGACTGTACGCCAACGGACAACAATTCAGGGGCAACGGGAAGCAATTCTTAACATATCTCGCGGCATTACAGCAGATGACATCCTACAATTAACAAATTCTATGGATCGGCGATTTTTTCAAGTAATTTCAAAACAGGGAAAGCATATTCCCTATTAATTTGTTTAAAACTGTGCCTTTGTTTGTATCTGTTATTATTTGTTCGATTATCTTATTTATTAGCTTCTTTTGATCATAAACATTCACGTTCA